CCGTCTCAAAAAAAAAAAAAAAAAAAATACAACAAGAGTGAGAAGCAGAAAAGCAAACCACAAAGGAAGTCCAGCCTAGACCCCAAATTACCTGGGAGGGCTGCAAACAGCCATGGAGACAGGTGGGGAGGGAACACAGTGACTGAGACTCCGAGACAGCAAAGCACCTCTCCAGCGAAGGCCAGTCCGAGATGCAGCCTAACTTCCTAGTTCACATCAGCAAGGTGGGCGGGTACCACCATGGGAAGGGCACCTGGGGTATAGCTGGTTACTAGAGCTCAACCACATTCCCCAAAATGGAGGTCAGCCCTCCATGGCCCAGGAAAATATGGGAGATAAAGGGTTGGCACCTGCAGTGACCAGATGGAGACCCAACGCAGGCAGCTGCTACCATGCTTGGTGACCAGGGTACAAGCCCCTGACGAGCTCGCCGTGGCAGACAAGCACACTGGTGCCTGAGGAACGACAGGGGCCTGCAAAGGGACATCCGAGAAGGGGGAAGCAAGCTGGGAGCAAGACCAGCCCAGCTAGGTTTCAGGGCAACAGCAAAGCCCCAGAGACATGGACGCAGGTGAGTCGACCTTGCTGGGTGAGAAGTGAGCTCGCACTGCATAGGGGAAGACGGTGGACCCCACTCCTCCAGGAGGCTGACAGCCTCAGCCAGGTACAAAGGAGGGCTCAGGTCACAAGGAAGGAGGCTATGGTGAGCGTGCATGGAGAAAGGTGGGCTTGCTGTGTGGAAGGAAGGAGGAGGGGAGGGGAAGGGTGAGCAAAGTGGGGCTGCAGGTAACAGGCTGTGGCTGATCTGTGGTCAGCCTGGAGCTCAGAGGCAGTTCTGGATTGACAGGACACACAGTGTGGCCACATAGGTTGCGGGACAGTGACCCCATAGTCCCCAGGGAATGACTGGGAGGCAGAAGATTGGAACAGGACAGAGAAGGGCACAGAGCTTTAAAGGTGTTTTTAGGCCAAGGGGGCAAGGACCTCATCTTGAGGTGGGGAAAAGCCGTTGCCCTGCCAGTCCAGTTGTTTGAACATGAGCCCAGCCCAGTGGACAGGGAAGGCCCAGGAAGAGGTGGGTAGGGAGGGCATCCTGCAGAGGCTGGGGACAAGGAGGATGGCACAGAACGCCATCACAGCCAGAGGAGTCTGGCAGGGCTTGGCAGAGGCGCCAGAGTTACCAGCAAGCTAGATGGCAACAACTGATAGCCTCTCAGGAACCTTCTTGTGTAGACCCACAGTGGCTCCCCGGCCCTGCCTGCTTTGCCTGACTCTGAAATGCCACAGAGGCCCATTTCTAGGTCTGTTCTTCTGAAAACACATCTCTGGTGCTGGGTAGATTCTGAATCCTGAGAATACAAGTTTCTGCTCCTGGATACACAGTCACAGGACCCAGAAGGATCCCGCCCAGTGGCTAGGCCAAGGCTGCAGTCCACTCCTTCATCCACAACCCGTTCTCCCCAGGGGTCTCACTTCATCCGCAGGACTGGAGAGTAGGCACAGAGAACTCACAGCAGGGTGGCCCACACTGGTCTCCCGTGCTCAGCAACCATGGCCAGGAGTAACTGCCATCTCCAGGCTGAGAAGCCTCAGTTGGAGGAGATAGCACCCACTTAGGGTTCACAGCCCCTTCCTGTGTCAGTTCCAGGAACCTTGGATCACAGACATGGCCTCATCCAGACAAGGACACGACCGTGGAACCTTCAGATGTCAGTGTCCCAAGAGCTGGGAGAAAGGCTGCAGGCCACAGGTGGCCACGCCTGGGATTCAACAGTTGCTCTGCTCAGACCTGGCTCCTCCAGACACGCTGCGGCCCCAGCTCTGCTTGTGTCTCTAGCACCTGGGGGAGGGGGGAGGGGCTGGGCCTTGGTTTCCCCGAGAGAGTCCCTTCCACACATGGGACCAGCCAACATGAGCTCATCAGGTCACAGGCAGCCGCAGCCTCCTGCCAGACAGAAAGGATTCCTGGCCCACGATTATAATTTCAAAGGAGTACTTTGTAGGTAAGTCCTCTGGAGCCCAAGACGCCAGGCAGGGAAGACAATGGCTGCCCTTGGCACCCACAGACACCAGCTCCCACTGTCTCACGTCCTTGCCCTCGACAAGAAGTAGGAGAGGATGAAGAAGGCCACAATTAGACCCACAGCCATGCCACATAGAAGCTTCCGGTTGTCTCGTCCAGACCTTGCCATTGCGGAAAAGCGCTTCACACTCCCTGTAAGCAGGCCGGTCATGCTTGTGAAATCCGAGTCCTAAGGGAAGAATCCCGGCAAGATCACACAGAAGTGGTGATTTGACCACCCACCCGCACCAGTGCTGAAGGAGACACTGCAAGCTCTGTAGCAGGTAGTGCTGGGGGCAGGGCACTGATTCGCGCACACCCTGGGCCCTTACCATGCCATCCAGGTACCGGTTCTGATCCTCTGCATCCCTATCGATGTCCAGGGCAAGCTGTTCAGCACACAGAGAGGGCAGGGTTGGGCCAGAGCAGACACATAATACAGCACTCACCCTTCCCAG